CATGTTTTAAACCGTAAAAGTATTTATTCAAATGTGCGCTACTCTCGTAAACTACCGCCATTTTATGAGGGAAATAAAAAGCGGGTAAAACAGCTAGTTAATAATTATATTATATATTAACAGAACCGGCACTTACACAAATATATGTATAATTTGTATCAAGATTGATTTACAGCTGATTGTTTTATTAGTCTCGTGGAGAGATTTATCGGCGAAAGGATGGTAAAATGACATCCAACTATTCCGTTGATGAACCCACCGAGGCCTAATGACGGTACTCCGTGAGCTATTTACGGCACCGAAATTTATCAAACCATCTAACATTCCCTAGCTTTTGAATAGTTCTGGAATATTCTAGCTAACAACTCTTTTGATTTAACGGAAACGTATATATCCCTATTGAGTTATAAAGTGTATCAGTTGAAACTGTAATCGAGTCAAAATATTAAGAATAATACGTACACAATAATAAAAATGCAATGATGAGTTGAAACATTTTAAATTGGGAAATCGATAAAAGCTAGCTAAAGCTATAATCTAAGGCTAAATAATGATGGCATCGTGTTGTAGTAGAACTAGAATTGGTGATAATGAAGTATTTCATAGTTCATCCAATAGAATTGAACAATAGAAGCTAACTTAAATAGGAAAAAAAAGCAAATAATAAACTACCTCTCATACTAGTGAGAAACGTTGTATTATTCCAGTATCTATATGCAGTCGGTTAGAAGATCGGAATTTAACAAGAAGCGTTTTAATTTAAAAATCGAAAATAAATTTTAAAAATTTTTTTTCGACTTGGGCAGGACTTGAACCGGCATCGTTAGCTTTCCGTGCTGTTGCTCTCGATTCTTAAATTATATAGTGCCGTAATGTGCAATAACATGTAAAAAATATTAATGTTTTCAAAAGAAGTGTTTTGTTTGTTGTGGTCACGGGGGGGACTGAAGGTGGAGGGTATCGCTATGTCAAAGTCCAAGCTGCTGCGCTGCCTACCTGCGCTGTCTAACCGTTTTTTCGTTATTATTTCGCGATTTAAACCCTTAAAAGGGTTTTATTTCAATTTTTACCACCTGCGTAGACTACAGATAGTGTTTTGTCTAACGGATGAAAACTAAGAAGACATTCCTAACACTTTTGGTAGATTCAAAGGAACGAGGTACTGTTAAGTTACCGATTCATTTACAACAGAAAGTACACGATCCAAGAATGTAAGCCCACACTACCATCAGCATTCACCGAATTAGAATGCTATTCCCATTTATAACAACAAATATACCTAAACAGAGGTATCCTGCAAATAGAATCAGTGCGTTTCAATGATTCCCCATTACAAATATTTTTGTGAGCAACGGTGCATGTGATTAAGGGACGGGGCATTATCTGATGCTTTTGTCCCCGCTTGTCCTTGTTTTGCGGTCTGTGGAATTCTATATGTCACCCGCACAATAATAACCCTTATATCATAGATACTAGAGTCGTCAACCCCAAAGCAAAAAGCGTTGTATTGAGTTACGCAAACCAATACCGTTGGTTAAAAGAAAGCTGATCTCTTTTGGTGACATCTTCACTGTAAAGGCTTATCGGATGACAATAAGCATTTTTTCATATATGTGTTTAGCGGCATGGGACTAGGATGCTATTAAATTGCGCATACGTCCTTTGTCGTGGCATATGGCATTTTCCAGCAGATGGCTTCTTTGTCATGTTTGAGTAGGCTGTGTATGATCTTGGAGTTATTTTAAAGCTGATTATCCAAGGTAATGTGGCGTGAATTGGATTGGAGTAACGATCTGTAGGATAGACGTCTGTACAAAATGGCTGCTTACATGAACATAAAAAAAAAATATTTAGACATCTTTAGATAGGTGTTAAATATCTAATATGGAAGTATCTTGTTTTTTCTCCTATACAAGAGTATTTTACTAATGCTGTAAAATGTATTGTTCCTTTCTGAGTTGCATAAAAATATACAATTCTATGTAATATGTTTTATACCAAACGGTTAGACAGATTTCAATTTATGTAAAGATCCGTAGACGTAACTTGGAATATATATAATGTGTACGTTTCTTTAACAAATAAAAAATGTTCACGGATGAAGATATATTTTTTTTTTTTTTTTTTTCTTCCTTTCAACAAAAAAAAAGTATATTTTAATGGTTCCCTCAAAAATTTTTTATTAATACAATTTTTTAAATAAAATTTTCCCCCCCAATTTAAAAGGGGAGGGGGGGGGGGGCCCCCAAAAGGGGGGGGGAAAAAAAACATTTTAATAAGGTGAATTTACCGCATTAGATTGTGTTACCCGTATCATAGAACCATAATAATACAAACGGGCAGAACACAAGAGTCAGATTATTAACTCTAAATAAAATAATTTATCGTTTGCCTATTAATGTACTCGTATGTATCCTGTAGCAAGTAAAACCGAAGTGCGCGCCTATGGCATACGGCATAAAAGCTTTTTTAATCGAGCTGTGTTTCAGTATTTGCTTTGTATAGATTTAATTTTTTTTTTAATAATTCTGCTAGAATCCCCTATCAGCCAATCTCGCTATCGAACGCTGATACCAAGAATAGTCTAACAAGCTCCGAACAATTTTAATCGTCTATTTATCTCATACCGCGTTACAGCGACAAACATAAATACGTATCTGATAAAATCACGTGACACATCGTCCCTTGGCTACGGCCTCGTAAAAACAAGTTTTCCCATTATTTCTATGCTGACCCTACTGTCGTTTTGATAAGGGTTCCAACGCCGAATATAACCGATGTTGATTTCGTTTTGATTTGTCCGAAGTAGATAATGGGTCTTTCATTTAGCTCTATCTATATGGCTTTTGAATGGGCTGTGGTAATTCTTGGCTTGTTTTTGATTATTATTCAGTTTTTTTATCGCGCTTGGCTTGGTAAGTATCGTTTAAGAGTATTTATTAGACATTAAAGTCTAAACCTCAAATAAAATATGTTTTTTTTATTCTTTTCAATTTCTAACCATAATATGCTAGAAGAATTGACGAAATTTACACTTGTATTAATAAAATTATACTAATCATTTAAGCAAATAAGTACTGTTTTTATTTATAATATTTCTTGTCTCCTGTACTTCAGGTTGCGTTCACATGACACATTAAAATTCTACTTAAAATTTAATAAAAAAAGAATTATAATTAATTATAGTTAATAGCCTAAAATCATAAATTAAAAATTTTCACCTGTAAGTGTCGAAAAAATCAAAGGTTTTGTTTGTAAATGTTATTAGTTTTAAGTGATAAATATGAATTATAACTACTATCATACTATACTTTATAACAGAAAGTAAAAATAAAATAAACTATCCTCTCACAGTTTTACAAGACATCGTCTCTAGTACGACCCTTTTAACTTCAGAACCCCTAACTAGACAACATTCGTCAGCGTAATTGCCACTTTGTAGTATCGATGGAAACTTAAGACCAAGTTGAACTCTTTAAAATTCAAACTGCGTTCAAGAAGTCATGTTTTAAACAAGTCGGAGACCGAATTGGTCTTTCCGTGCCAAATATTCAACATCGATTTCCTCAAAGTCTGGACAGGCTAAATTTCTAAAAGCGGGAACTAGGTTATTTTAAAGCATTTATATGCATTAAAGTACAAATAATTGAAAATTAAAAAATAATAAAATAAAAAATTAATAAATAAATAAATAAAAAATCTTCGTCTTGAAACTAAGTCTTAACCATATTGTTTATATATTACTTATTCAGTACAAAGCCAAGATTATTTCTATACTATTTGTAGACAATTGTCTTATTTTACGTGTTAGAATTAGTTATAAAATTCTAATTGTACAAAGATTTCGAGAAAAATATTTTAAGACTTTTAAGCATACGCATTCTTACCAAACGAAAGTATGCCTACATTGCGTTAACCCTGAGTTCGAATCCAGGGAAACAAAAAATTATTTCTGTCGGGCAGGGCACAGAAGTCTGAACAACTACTTGTCTGTTCAAGAACGAATCAGTGAAACAGACACAAAAATGCGTTTGTCCTATGACCCACGAGGTGCAAACGGGGTTTGACACACAAGGCTTTAACTCTTTTACAGACTCTCGATTAATTGTTTTCTTCATCGGCTATGTATACTTCTAATAAGGTAATCTTCTCCTAACAAAAACTTCTCCATCTTGACGTTAATCAAGATATATTTCGGTGAATAAAGTTTGTAGTGATTAATGCTATCAATCTACCCTGATAAATTAATCTTGTTGCGAAGGGTTTTGTAAAATCTAATTGCTATCGCATTCTAAGAAAGTTGATTATCTCGGGTTGTGTGTTCGCTGTATTTGTAATGAAAGTTATTCCAACTTTGTGTTCAGATTTCTTCGTCTTGTCTTCGAATGTGATTTAATTTAAACTCAAATAGATAAGCTTAGGGTTATCAAATGCAATTTAAACTTGCAAACTTGCGTACCTTTGTTAAAATGTGACTAATAAAGCAAATTGTATATTGTAGAGAGTTATATGTAATGTAATTTTTAGTATTTCATGTGTATACTTTATCTATGATGTTATATAAAAAATTGTGCTAATTTTGTTTCTGTAATTTTTGTAATATCGACAAACTAAAATAACGGTAAAAGAAATGAAACAAAAGCAAATAAAATTCATAATGTATATTTTCATTTTCTCCATAACACTTCAATATTTACAAATAAAACATAAAGAAATTATTTACAGTCTCTTGGGCGCGTTTAACATAATAGGTATTTGATATAAATGCATTTTACATTAAGTTTAAAACTTTGGCATTCAATAATTTAATAGAATATGTGGGCAAGTTATATACAATATCAAATTAAAATTACTATCGCAGTTAATATTCGAGTATGTACAGACATCCTAAATGTACAAATAAATGCAGACTTAAACTTAGCTTAACTAATCTATGTTTAATAATATCACGGTTTTGGACTAAAAACGCTTAAGCGTAATTACCTGCGTTGAAGCATACGCTACGCCCACAGCTGCGCGTGCGGCGGTATTCGGTGGGGGTGCGAATCTCGCGCGTGGACGCTCGTCGAGACGGCCAGCCGATCGGCCAGGCCGTCCCCCAATAAAGGGGGTAACTTGCCCGGCGGAGGCGGGGGCGGAGGCGCCGGCGCCCTACCTGCCCCCACAGGCGACACCGACGCGTAAATATTCACCGTCGACCGGTGATATTGACACTTCCGCAAGTCCGGCATCGCGAACCTCAACTTCTGCCAGAACTGTCTGTCACCCCACTCTATGCACGTATTGGCTTTCAAACACAACCTCAACTCGGGATCGATGTCCCTATTCGGTAAATCACCTAACAATATTATGATCAGTCTTCTCCGCCTCTCCTTTAGCACTTCGTGGAGGGCTGTTTTAAACTCGAATCTACACCACTCGTTGTTAATAAAGTTTTTAGATAGCACTATAATCGTGCGTTTCGACGATTCCACCGCTTCTATTATTGTGTCCGCTACGTAGGCGGAGGCGTTGAAGTCGCGGTAGTGCAGGCACAAGCGAAAGCTAGGATCCGCGGATTCTAATCCGGGAGCGAGCATTTGAGCCACGAACGCCTCGTCTTTCACGCTGTAACTGATGTAGGCATCGAACAATCTATCCTTATCTGCCTCGTCGTCGAACGCCGTGCTCTTATAACACATTCTGAACCCACAATGATAGTAAATCCAAACTCTGAGCTCTCTCCGCCAGTAAAACACGCCGCATATGAGCACGGAACTTATCACAAACACGCATAGTGATATCAGCAGTAATGGGAGGTAATCATTTATGACTTGGTTCTCGATTATCGAAGACACACCGCCGACGTGACTGGTACAAATCGTCGAGTTGAAGTCGGACATGTGAGGTCCCACCGCATTGGTGATGTTGTCGAAGATACACGTTATTCTATTGGCGTCCTCCACTTTGCCGAGGTTGTTTCGAAACCAATTTCGGAATTTGTGCATGTATAGACAATCGCAGGACCACGGGTTGCGCGAAAGACTTATCTCGACCAAATATGGATTCAGCGTGAATTGCCACACGGCGAAGCTATAAATGTTGTTTCCCTCCAGCCGTAAAACCTCTAAATGCATAAGTTCGACGAACGTTCGATTATCGATATAATGTATTTTATTGTCTTGCAGATGCAATTCCCGCAAGTTTTCCAGAGGCGATAACTCAAAGCCTAACAGCTCCTTTATATTGTTCTTTTCTAAATGCAACACGGTTAAACGTTTTAGTCCACTAAAGGTATTATTATACAGTGCGTCGATATTTGAGTTATTTGCATACAATATCTTTAAGTTTTTACGGCCGATAAACGCGTGGCTAGTTAAACTACCAAAGTTGTTACCGTCTAGATATAGTTCTGTAGCATCCATAGGTATACTACTCGGTATTTCGGCGTACCCGGCGGCCGAACAGTCCACAATATTCGCCGACCACGGCTGGTCGTGATAACACGTACAGTTCGATGGACACGTCATTTCACAATCACAAGCGTCAAAATCACAACAATGGCACAGCGTAAAGCAATGAGTTTTATATGTACACAAAAACTGCGACGACTCCGCCTCGACGAGCGGAATATAAGTCCTTTCACGATTATATAACAATTTGCAGTAAATGCTTTCCAAGTCCATCACTCGCGGGTGTTGTCTCAGATGATCCAACTTATTTATGCGTTGTAGCCACTCCATAGTACAGTCGCATTGAAAAGGATTTCCACCGATATAAAATTCGGGCAGAGGCCTCCCCGGATCGACCGGCGTTAGACGCAGCGCATTGAGATCCATACTAGTGATCTGATTTGCATACAAATCGACTCTCGTTAAATTGGTTTTTCCGACGAAAGTTTGAGCTTCAACTTGCGTAATTTGATTATCATTCAAGAAAAGTAGCTCGATGCTGCTGGGAATCGAATAAGTAAATATTTTCGTCAATCTGTTGAAACTCGCATCCAAGGTCTGCACCCTTAATTCCTTATCTAAGCGGTAATTATTGCCGAGCTCTTTGATGTTATTACTGTGTAGATCCAACCACTGAAGAGCCGGCGGTAGCACGGAGTAATCAAACCAGTCTATTTTGTTATCTGAGACGTTCAACCACAACAGAGTTGGTATATTTACAAAGAGCCCTTGGATGTCTGTCAGCTGGTTTGCGTCTAATCTTATAGCTTGTAATGTTTTCAAGTTTTCGAATGCGCCCATATCGATAAAGCGTAATTTGTTTCGGGCCAAATTCAATATTTGCAAGGATGGCAAATCGCTAAAGACGTCTTTGCTGATGTTCTCTATCTTATTTCCGATCAGACGCAGGCCGTACACATTATGCAGACCGACGAACCCGGGCTCTTCCAGTGATGTAATTTGATTTTCGCCGAGGTCAAGAGTTCTCAGTAGGCGCATATTTCTCAGCGCCGTAGGCACTTTCTTCAATCGATTACTATTCAAGTTGAGATCTTGTAATGAGGAAGTATTACGGAATGCTTCAGGATGTAACTCTTCGAGACGGTTATTATCAATTGACAATAAAGATAACACGTAGAGTCCATTTAGTGCGTAGGCATCGATGTGGGATATCTTGTTGTATGACAAAATCAAAGTGTGCAAGTTATTCATGGGAGCGAATGTGTCGGCCGCTATAGTTTCTAACATATTACGTTGGACATTCAAAATCTGCAGAGTGTATAAATCTTTAAAGATTTTCGGGTCCAGTTTTGATAGTCGGTTATTTGATAGATTGAGAAGCACCATTCTAATAAGACCTGCGAACGTATTCTCATTTATCCACGTACTCGTCAAATGATTATTCGATAAATCTAAAGCCAATAATTGATCCAAGTTAGCGAACAAGGTAGGAGAGAGCACACTGATCGAATTATTCTGTAAGTATATTTCTTTTATCACCGGCCTACAATCTTTGAATAGGTCTTGTGGGAGGGCAACAATTTTATTGTTGGAGATATCGATTATTTGTAGTTGTTTTAGGCCCGACAGGGCCTTGTCAGCGACCATGGATATCTCATTGTCGTGTATGTGCAATTCTTTTAATCTTCGAAGCGCGTGAAAACCATTTTCAGGCATCAACACAAAGTGATTGTAAGACGCGTCCAGCACTTCGATGTCCAATGAGCACGACGCGTGTGGAATCGATGCCGATGGCGGTGGTCCCTCGTGATCACTAATTAAAGCTTGATGCATCGCCCTTTCTCTGAATCCCAAATCACTGACATCCTGAAGTCTATTTGAGGAAACGTTTAAATAAACCAAATTAGTTAACGGGCAAAACAAGTTTTCAGGAAACGACCAGATGTTGTTAAAACTGAGATCCAGTTTTTCTAATTGACGTACGGCCGTAAAGCTTTCCGACGCTATTTCTAAGCTCATTGCACTCCACTCCGTGTTTTTCGTTCGAACCGTAAGATTTCGTAGGTCTCTTAAGCCGGAAAGTACACCCGGTGGCCATCTTCCAATTTTACAGTTGTCCAAAACAAGTTCACGTAACTTCACTAAATGGGCGAAACTACGATCGTCCAGGGAGCTTTTGTACATAATTTCTTCGTTACACTCTATCCTTAACGAGGTCGTGTGTTCCGAAGGAATGACACTGAAGTTTGTCGTATCGAATTCACTGTTGATTGTCCGTAATTTACACGTTAGAGATACTTCGTGGGCATCATTAGGGCCCTTTAGCCACCACTGGCAGTCATCGGGAGCTTCGTATTTCAACGGCAACGAACTCTGATCGGCGACATTCAACGCCAAAATAAATAAGCACAGGAGCTGAGCGGCGAAGTAGCTCTCGAAGGTTTGAAAAGCCATAGTGTACGAAATCAATCATCAAGATAGAAGAAAATCAACGGACAGAAAACTCGGTGTCATGTTTTCTCTGTCAACATTCGTGTGCTGATTCCCCTTGGCGGATGTGAGGTATCCATCAATTTATAATCCAATCGGTTCCAATTTAATAAGGAGTCCTTGTAATTGCACAGCACAGGACGATTTGTATCACTAATTCCATGTTTACGATAACTTCACTAAGTCGCTAAATACTATTGCGTGAATTTTGGACGACCGGAATAGGTTTAGTTGTCGATTGGACGTATTCGGTTAACTTAAGTCCAAATACAGTACGTAATAACAGTCGTGTTTTATGGAACGCACGCGTAATCGCAGTATCGAGTGACGCGACCGTACCTCGACACTGCTCGTAGTCAACTGAATACTCGTGGAGACCAGAGGCATTGCAGTGCAGAGTACGGCCGTGGAGAGGCGAGGGGCGGAATCGGCCGAGAGGTAGCGAATGTTCACGAGGACTTATTACAATAAATTATTTTTTACTGAGCTTCGAGATAGGCTGCGCGTATCCGATGCTTGAATGAATAGGCCTCAGCTGCTTTCGAAAGTTAAGAAAACAATATTTTTAGGGCTTACAATATTCAATATAGAGATTATATTTAATAATTATTCTCAGTTTGCTTACTTTCGTTAGTTTTCGTTGATTGTGTCTTATGAGTTCGAAAGTAATGTTTACAGGCAAATAAAACCATTTTTATACAACCAGTTTTTATATGAACACATTAAATAAAAGTTTCAATATTCCTAATTAAAATGCAAATCTCTAAAACTGCATTAATAATGATATTTCATGAATAATTTAAAAAAATTGTATACACATTTAAATAAAATTACGGTGAATATATTAAAATTTTGCTGTAAAACATCCTGAAACGTCAACTTATCTAATATATGTCGCGATTAAAACCTTTTTTATTTAAATTATTACTATTTTTCTTATGAAAGGCCGTAGCAGGTATCTATGGATAAAAGCCTTCGTTTTAAGTAAAAAACTTCACGTAATAAGATCGAGAGTAAATCTCTTTAGGCGTTTAATTTCCATTAGATAATTTAAAAGAAATCCAAACGAATTAGCAGCCAGGTGCAAAGAACCATGAACATGACAAAGAATTTAACGCTTACAACTGAAGGAAAGTGAGATTAAAAATTCAACCCTTTTGTCGTATAAATGGCGAAATTAAAAGCAACTATGGCATAAAAGTATTAAGGGCTTACGGCAACAAAGGTTTTCACGGTCGGCAGACCACACTGGCTGTCAGGAAATCATTTTAATCCTTTTAGTTAAGTTGACTGTGGAAGTCGGCGGTCGTTTTCTTATGTCATGCTTCTAAATTGAGAAAGGAATTTGTCTTAAACACATATTAAATTAAAATTAAAATTGAAAGAGTAAGTATGTAGTGGGTAGTCTATATAGTGCCACCATTAGCAATAACATGTAAAAAGTATTAAAGTTTTCAAGTTGTAGGTATTTATAATACATTATATTTGATGATTTTGATATTAGTTCAATCGGAATAAAATTATAACACTCGTTGTACCAAGGAATCATGGATAGTTTATCACAGAGTCTGTATGTAATACTAGCAAAGAACAATTATTATGGAAAGGCGGTGAATTTTAAATATTACTTCAACAATTTTTTTTATTTAATTTAAAAAATGCTGTGATTTTTTTATTATTTTATATTAAAAGTTTTGAATAAGCATGATTTAATAATGATATAAGATGTTAAAAATAATAACAATAGTTGTTTTATCGCAAAGCAAGAAATGTGGAAATTCTTTTTAAACAATCTCCCGGGTAACGTTTGTAAAAATAAATATAATTATGTTTATGTTTAAGCAAAGTGGCATGTAAATGCCGTTAAATTAACTATGTCTTGCAATAACGTATCAATGAAAAGACAGTCAGCCATGTTAGCTGTCATTTCGATCGTAAAATATCTTATTTATAACAAAATTTTATGCTAATAATCTCTCGAGTATTCAAATTAGTATTATTCACATTATTTGTATATACACCTGTGCCTCTTAAAATATAAAGGAAGCATACATTATTCTCATCTTGTTAAAATACAATGGGCTTTTCCAAATTTCATTTGACAAGGAGCCAATTGCGATTACAATAAAATACGTAGAATTGTATATTACACACATACATACGTAATAAAAAGGACGGTAACGACTACCTAATCTTATTATTGTAACCGATGTTATTATGTTTATTAATGAGTAATAAACGGATTAAACAGAAAATTTTTAACGGTTTGAAACGCAAAATATATGTATCAGTTTTTATATTTAAACTACGACCTGACGTTCTGAAAGTTCGTGACCAACGCTTTACTTTTCAAAAAGCACTTTTGTCATAGAATTTATTTAGCACTGTAGATTTTTTTTTACATGTTTTATTTACTTTTCTAATAATGTAGGGCATTGTAAATGTACTCTCTAGACATCAAAACACTATTTTTTTGCATCAGACAAACTTAAAAAATAATTCTTTCGTATTTTCACATTTATTATCTGTAGTTATTCGTATATTATTTATGTTCTTCTTAATGATATTAAGTACATTAAATGCACTTTGGAATTTCTTATTTTACAGAACATTTATTACAGCATCCTAAGTGTTAAACTTATTACGTTGAAGTGTTTTACTTATCATACTGTCAGCTGTAAAAATGAAAAATGATCGATCTTTCTGTTCAACTTTGCCTTAGGTTATCTTCTCTTAGGTGCATTATACACGAAAGTATTTATTAACAATTATATGAGAAATAAAATTACACTGTCTATAGACAAGTTTGTAGCTATTTATCATTGCTAACAATTAACTCTTTCGTATATTATGTATCATTGTCCAAAAATAAATAAAATTTATTATACATTTATTACGATACTTCAAAAATACATTTTTAAATATTTAATTTCACTACAAAAATTGCAACCAATTATCTGAATTCAAATTTACTTCTTATACACATTTTAATACATAATAAATAAATTGTCTGTAGTTTCGTGATTTAGACATCTAAATAAAAGAGCCTTAACGGTTTAAAATGTATCTAGTTAAACTGCCTGTTTAGTCAGTCTCCTACCACGCTGCTGAATGATTGAACGTTCTGTAGTTAAAAATACATGTCAAAAATGTCTAACTAAAATATATGCGTTTTAAACCTTACAGTTTTTATTTAAATACATATAACGATTTGAAACGCTAAATTATAATATTTACATACTATATCCATTGTTGTCACAATAAGTAACATTACAAACTAATTCTTTATGAAACCTCACAAATAAAGAATTGGTATTACCACCATTACAAATGTTGTTTTTCTTACGTTAGCTTCTTACAACGTCTGTTTTCGTTAATCTTTGGTGAAACTTGCGTATTTATATTTCGTATCCTGAATACGCGAATAAGAAAATCATACACTTCATATCGCAGAATGATCTATAGTGCTTTATGTAAGTCATAAAAGTCATATTTGTGATATATATTAATACACACTTAAAAGGAAGAACACGGTGAAATATATTCACCCCATGTGTTGCTAGATACGCGATACAAACAGGATAAAAGGCGAAACTTGTTTGCATAGAAATTACATTTTACTACGGAGAGATAAAATGCCTACATCCACAGAAAAATATTGACAAAACACTAATAATTATTTCGCTATGAATTTTATTTAAGATAACATTAATTTCTGATCGAAAGTAAAATGGCGATTTCGGATGGCGGTTAGGGATCATTTTTAGAACACACTCCTGTGTCGCTTTCAATTATAGATATGTGCACCAATGTTAAGACTTCCGAAACAATTTATGCTTCCGGGCATAAGGACCTTTGGCCAATTTTGCAATCTTAGTTATATTTAAGAATATTTTTAAGAATTTATTTTTACTACTGTCCAATTAAAGAAAATTTGGCATTAATTTCATATGTAATTATAGGTGTGTAAACTCAATAATAAATATATTGAAACCGCCTTAATTTAATATTTGAAGAAGAAGTAGTTGATATTTGTCATACCTAGGACGTTTGGAAAATATTTTTACAGGATCACAGAAGACTATATCTACTTAGACAAATACTATTTTTTGTTTAAATACTACAACAACGTGGTTTTAATATATTTATTACTAAGATTTGACATTGATGTTACCCCCAAAAATTAAGTGTGATATTTAAATAACATTTTCTTAGAATTAATTTAATTGTTTGGAACATTCTAGTTCTTGTTGCTCTACCAAAGCGATGGACAATACAAAAAATTATAAAATATATAAGATTTACGTCTTATAATATGTAACGAATCACTATCCCACACACGGCGCAAATAAATCCTAAAATATGGCGTTAGGAAGGAAGCTTTACAAAAATACTTCCTTCTTATCCCTTCTAATGTGTTGACAGTCACGGCCGCGAACAATATCCACCGCCATAACAATAATATAAACCAAGGAAATATAAACAAACTATTGAAGAAATTCCGAAATTCACATGCACCGTAAAAAATCGAAAAATATGAACCTTGACTAAATCTGTGAATCACTAAATTAATATCCTTGAAATCCAATCGAGGCAATTAACTCCGCGATATTGCTATCCCATTTCAACTCATAGTATAGTCCTATTTCTGTTTCAGTTTTTTTAAGGTGATGTGACAAGGGTTGGCTAGCAATATTTCACGAGTTCAGGTAGCAGACATTATCACTATAGGCGTCGTTCATAGTTAAAAAGGTATAAGAAATGTTTGGAACGCGAGGTCTCATAAAAATATCGCTACTTTTTGTACCGAATCCTCTATGCTAGTAACGTCCTAAATTTCTCCGGGGATTATCCGAATGGAAAGCTTCTTATTCCCTTTGTAAATAAGACAACACGAGTTGTATTATAATTTAGCAGGGAATATCAAATCAATAAAACTCACTATCTTACATGTACCCATAAAA